ACTATCTCTGAATTGTAGACATTTTGTTTGGCACTTTGCAAATGTATGCTGCTTGAGTACATTCTGAATTCTCTTGATTATGAATAACCAGAGAAACATGTTTAATTTGATCAACTGATCCTGGCACACAAATCACTGCCAGGTATGCACAGTGTAACTTGGCTGAGAGCCCAGGCTCATAAAAGGATTACCTGCGTGTGAGTTGTTTTGACTGCTGGAGAGAACTGTTGAGCTTGCTTGATTGTCATCTTTAAGCAGTTGTAGTAAGTGGTTCCTTGTGACATTTCTTTTGTCGATGTTTTACTGTTCATTTGCATAGAATTAAGAGATATGAAGTGTTTGAAGCCTCTGTTATCGATTTTTTAATGATCCATTTGATTAACCTTTTTAAAGAATTTTTACGAAGATTTTGCTGTTAGTGGTTTCACATGTGCCACTGTTATTGTAACATTTATTAGTTCTGTATGTTGTTATACTGGGTGAACGGGCATGGAAGAGCCATGAGTTGACCTCTCTCTCTCTGGACCATCTCTGCAGCTAGAACACTATATCCTGCACTCTGTTCTGCTACCTGATGTATGGTATGATCTGTCTGCAGAGCACGCAAAACAACACTTTTCACTGTGTCTCGGTACATGTGACAACAATAAATCAAATCAAATCTTGAGTTGGTGAGAATGGTACGAACAATCAATCGATATGTTTGGGGGTGTAGGTTAGCATGGAGGCTGTAAGGTGCCACGGGAGTTGGTGATTGGGCGTGGAAGGGTCATGGGTTGAGTTGGAGAGGCATGGGGACATGGATAAGATCTTTGGGCTTTACGTTTCAATAGAATCCCAAATTCAAACTATAGTCCTTGCCCTCCTCCTGAGACCTGTGAACTATGAGTCACATGGAAACTAGCCTGACCCCATGAAATTGCCACAGTCTAGAGATACCTCCCTAGCAATGGAGCAGGCCAGGTCAGGAGTGCAGGCCATGGGTTTGCTTTTTATATTCTTATCCCTCAGCAACACAAATTGATGATTCTGGTAATTGGATCGTGAATCTCAGAATTGGGTCCCATCTACCATTTTAAATGGCCTTTAAGTCATTCTAACTCTGTGTAAACCTGAGCCATGGTGTCGTGGAAATTTCATTGTCACTGCTCCATTTTTTCTGTCACCTCTGCTGGTGTTGGTGTGGTTTCGGTCAACGTATTCTCTTTTTGGTGTGTGACCCATTTGTTTCCTTCTGGTTTTTATATTCAAAGCTTTAGTCTCTGGGTAGTTTGAGAAAAGACCCCATGTTCCTCCTGACACCAACCATGTACCTGTAGCAGAAGAAATTACACTCAGTGGGCACTTTAGGACTCTCCTCATATAGAAAACATTTCAGAAATAGGTTGAGGAAAGCATTGTGTGAAGACTGGATAAAAGGCTGAAGCTCTGGCACTTAAAGATTGCCCACAGCTGAACAGCTGGAATTAATTGCTTATTTGGTTTAATGGCTGCCTCTGTGAGAGTTAACATCTTATGAAAGTTTTATCGTGTCCATCTCTGAGCTTTCACAACGTTCCCTCTGTCTATTTAATTATGTAGTGTTGGGGTGGGAAGTGGGAGGGTGCTGTATATCCCTAAATAACTACAACCCAGCCCTTGGCCTACTTCTGAGTAAAGCCACTGGAAGTCAGGTAGCTATCCCGAGAAAGTAACTCTGAAAACCTTGTTTGACTTTGGCCAGGGAAGGCTTCACAAAATCATCGCATCTGGTCTTCCCATGGACAATTAGAAAGATCCAGAAAAGTTCTGGATGTTTCGTGAAGACCGGTTCAAAATAATAATTAACTTCAGAATTAAGAGATCACAACTCGTGTCACACAGACAGCAAGATACAAAAGCAAGCTTTTCACACCAGTGCATGCAAATGCAGCAACGAAATGGAGAAAGGATTAAAATCCCCAGCACAATTTGTGCACAGAAAGCGTGTGAGGATGGTCCTATTCCAGGAACTGATTGTCTATTTGAACCACAGAATATTCTTCTTCAAATACAGTGGAGAATAGAAGGGAGACATGACAAGTCAGCAGCTAGAGAGCTACCCAACTGCATACTGTGCAGAGAATACGAGTTAGAAATACAAGTCCTTGAATACCAACAAAGGCTTCTACAATATGCAAGCAACACAGTTCATGTGAAATCATCGCTAACCATGATAGTACATTGTGAAGGAGTAGAAGCCAAATTGGATCAATATACTTTACACCAAACACACGCAAAGAGCATGAGGAAAAATACTCCGATGTGATGATTGTGAGGTGATGTTGAATGACAGCAAGATATCGAGTTGTTAAACAAATGCAACAAAGAACAACATATACCCCTCCAGATGATGTACAATCACCAGATCAGGATTGAGTTGTCAAACTCCAAGGCATTATAATGAAGTTTGAAATTCTATGACTGTAAACTCTGTTACTTGTTTGTACAATTATTGAGTTGACAACTTGTGCCAATGTACAACAATGTATATCTGTTTGGAATAGGCTTTCTCTTTGACAAAAAAGGAATGTTGTGTTATGTCTTATGGTCAATATACCTTTAAGAGACATGATCATGATATCATCATTGCATCATAGCATGTGCCCTGAGGGTATAAAAGTCTCGGACTCCATCTTAACTCAAATCACTGGAAGCATGACATGCAACTGGGAACATGCTTCTCTGTTGTAAGTAAGAGCTTAATGTTAGCCCAGACACTTGTGTGTCTCGGGAATATAATGACTGTAATAATAGTCAGCTGTAATAAATGTCCATTTGATTCTTCAATCCCACAGTATCCAGGCCCTGTTTCTCATGTTAAAGGAGATAACATAAAAGTTGCTGTGTGAGGTTAGCTACCCTGCTGGAGGCGAACTCACACCAGAACCCAGCCATACTGACTCCTAAAGACACCAGACTGTTAGACGATTCAGTTCTCTTTCCTGAAGTTAAACTACTTGTGCAGATTTCTGACTCAAATGCACCAATTTTACAAATCTATATGATGTCTGTGTAAGTTAGGCTTCCTCTGTGATGCCATGTTGACAGTTCAGTGAAAAAACTTCACTGTGATTAGTAAAAGCCCTGGGGTTTTATTTGGCACCTTGCAGTGTTATATGTTAGGGTACATCTCTGGACTGTGTGTGGCTCTGCCAATATGACCTGATTTTTAGTGAAAGTTGGGAGCATTTGGCCAGTATATTTGTGAAGATACCAGCTTAGATTTGTTGCCCCAATTATTACTTTCTCCATCGTGCAACATGAGTGTACTGGGATAAGGGACTCTAGTTAGTTGGGATGGGAGACACAGAAGCAGAGATGATCCTCTGGCTCTGCTCTCACCCTCTCTGTGTCCGGGGTCTCCCATCATGATGGGGTGGTGCAACTATATAATAAGGTACAATTAAAGTGAAAACTCAAACCAATGTGCGGTCCACTATTTGTGCATTGTTGGTCACAACAAGAACTTAGTTATCCCAGAGATAGCAAGAACTGCAGATGCTGGAGTCAGTTATCCCCATTTCTGAGTGGGTCTACCATCAAATCAAGAATGCTTTAGAATTAGATTGAGGATCTTTCTGAACCTGCAGCAGTGTAATTTGGCAGGGTCCTGAGCCCAGTTACATCCATGCCATTCATTCCTCAAACAAATAACTTCAATTTAGCTTCCTGGGTTCCACCATACACATTTTGCCCTTCCAATCATTCCCCCTTCCACCTTCTCCAGCTAGTCTGGATAGATTCTTCAGACTGAAAATCAGCCAGGCTAATGAATGTACTTGCCATGGTGGAGAGCCCAATCCCGTTCTCAAGGTCAATACAGGCCAATGATTTTGTATGTCTAGTGATTTGACATTTTATGTCAAGCTTTCTGGAACATGAAAGCTTTGGGTTCATTCACTTTACAGGTATCATATTGAGATGGTGAAATCTCTGCTCTTTACCCCTCTAGTACACCATCTATGTGTGCCAATTTCTAAGGTGCCACATTTTGCCCTTAAGCTTGTACTTTGCTCTGTCAGAACATCAGTGCAAACTTCCATTCTGGGTCAGTTGTGTTTGAGGCACTGCATCTCAAACAGCTGTTTGATGGCAATTGAGTTTTAAGAAATTGTAAGCAGCAACACTAGCGATAGTTCTTCTGTTCCTTTCAGTTCTGCTGGACCATTGGTGCTGAAATGATCTGACAAAGGTGGCCTGATGATTTTGTTGCTGTGTGAATTTATTTTACCTTTGTTTTTGGGATGTGGGCATTGTTGATATCTTAGAATATTAATAGTTGTCCTGAGAAGTTCGCGATGAGTCTTCTACCTGAGGTTTAGTATAACTGAGATGCTGAAACACATTTCAGAAAGTAGTGAAGAGTCAACATTGATATGTGACTGGAGTCACCTATATACCCAGACTGGTTATGGGTGAGGTTTTCCTTCCTTAAAGGACAAATTTGCCCTTAACCTTTTTCCTTTTCAGCTTTTCGCCATAAATGGAGTCCTCCATCCCATCAGTATTCTAGTAAACCTCTTCTGCACCTTGTCCTATACTTTGACTTGCTTCCTAAAGTGTAGTTACCAGAAATATAAGCAATATTTTATCTTGACTAACCAATCTTTTTATAAAGGTTTAAATTTTTTTCCTTGCATATTCATTGTCTCTACTTACAATACCAAGCTTTTTCAACTTGTCCTGCCACCTATAAAAAAAAGTTAGCACAGACTCTCTCTTTTCTCACAAACTCTTTAAAATGGCAACATTAAATTGAAATTGCCGCTTCTGAACTTTAGAGCAAAGTAATGTGAGAATCTGCTACATGTGACTCTGAATCAAGCTCATATCTTCAGTATTGAGATGAAATAAAATCCGTTCACACTCCATTACAGTTTGTAGTTTCAAAATGAACATGAATTTAGTGTGAAAAAGAGATAAACTTTTAAACTATATTCCACAAGACTAATTTTCTATTTCTGATTGTGTTGTTTTAGATGCAGTAACCTCACCTACCCAGTGAACCTCCCTCAAATCAGCGTGGTCTTTATCTTTGTTAATGAAGCTCCTTCTGTTGTTCTACGCTCTATGCACTCAGTGATATCTAAAACCCCACCTCACCTTCTCAAGGAGATTGTGCTAGTCGATGACCACAGTAACAATGGTAAGTGGGTGGCAATTGTTTGTGGCTGGAATGTATCATAGCTTTTTATTGCACATCAAGTGTTAATTAGGCCCAGCTAATCATTTGCAGAATTCTCAACCTTTCCTTCTAACTATTCCCTTATCTCAATAAACCCATCTGCAAATCTATTCCATTTATTTCAAAGTCTCCTCAAGTAATTTACAATGGTGGTCCTTTTGTTCTTTTCTATAAATATTATTTGATCTCCTGTGGTGATACACACAGTTACAACAAAGCATGTACTGCATTATAAGGCCAGGAATGTGTGTGTGTCTGTGTAGGCTAGTGTACATGTAAGTCAAGGATGTGTGTGATTGTGTGTTAGTGTTCACGCTTTGTACTTGTTTGAGCGTATGTGTGACAGTATGTGTGTGATTTCCTCATCCGTGTATCTACGTGCGAATAAGCGTGCATGGATGTGTTTTTTAATTCACTCATGGGATGTGGGAATTGCTTTATTGCCTAACATTAATGACATTCAAGAAGACGCAAGGTGTAGCCTTCTTGAACCGCAACAGTCCTTGAGGAATAGGAACACTCAGCGTGACGTTGGGGAGGAAATCCCTGGATTTTGATTGAGTAGCGGTGAATAAACAGCAATGTCAATCCAAATCAGGATGGTATAAAGCTTCAGAGGGTACCCAACAGGTGGTAGTGCTCCCATGCATCTACTGCCCTTGCCTTTCTGGGTGATAGGTGTTGCGGATTTAGAAGGTGCTGTCAAAGAAACCTTAGTGAGTTGTTGCAGTATTTCTTGTAGATGGTGGACAATGCTGCCACTGTGTTGGAGTTGGAGAGTGAATGTCAAATGTGGAGGATGAGATGACAATCAAGCTTTGTCCTGGATAATGCCAAGTTTCTTGAGTATTTGTAAAGCTGTACTCATCCAGGTGAGCGGAGAGTATTCCATCACACTCCTGACCTGCCTTGTACATGGTGGGCAGGCTTTAGTGAGTCAGAATGTTACTTTCTTGAGTATAGGAGTTGGGACGTCATGTTGAAGTTGCACAGGATGTTGATGATGTCTTTTCTAGAGTACTGGGTGCAGTTCTGGTCGCCATGCTATAGGAAAGATATTATTAAGCCGGAGAGAGTTCAGAAAAGATTTACTAGATGTTGCCAGGAATGAAGGGTTTGAGCTATAAGGAGAGGCTGGATCGGCCGGGACTTCTTTCACTGGAGCGTAGGAGGTTGAGGGGTGACCTAATAGAGGTTTATAAAATCATGAGGGGTATAAGTAAGGTGAATGGCAGGTTTCTTTTCCCTAGGGTGGGGGATTTTAAGACTATGGGCCATATTTTTAAGGTGAAAGGAGAAAGATTTAAAAAAGGCATGAGCGGCAATATTTTTAACTGTAGTTCATGTGTAGAATGAACTCCCAGATGAAGTGATGGATACACAAACAGTTACAACATTTAAAAGACATTTAAATAAGTAAATGACTAAGAAATGTTTGGAGCGATATGTGCCAATCGCAGGCAGGCGGTACTAGTTTAGTTTGGGATTATGGTCGGCATGTACTTGTTGGACTGAAGGGTCTGTTTCCATGCTATATGACTTTGTCTCTATGATTGTATGAATTCCCAGCCTGTGACTTTTATGGCTGTTCTGATTCAGTTTCTGGTTTGGTCCAGCCGTCTAAATACTGTAGCTACAAGAATGGCTCATATGCTGGGAATTCTGCAGTGGATATGCAAGTAATGAGATAAAGAGCAGACCATATGAGAGATTATTTGATTATTATGGCTGATACACTTTAATGGTCATTGTCAAGCATCATGTTTTGGATGTGAATGCCCATTCTAGCTGGCACAATGATCTCACCAGGGACTGAGTCACCATGTCAGCCCTGATCACTGCAAACCATGTATCAGGAAACAAACACTTAGAAACCATGATCCCCAATTGTGGGCTCTACAGTTACCATTTGTTATTTCCCATCAATTTAAGAGGGTAACAATGAATAAAAGCAATTTAAGATGGTCACTGGGACAGTGAGGAGAGAGATTGGGAGGGATAGAATGCCTTACCACAGAGAGTGATTGAGAGACCATTGTATTTTTTAGGGGAATGTTGGATAAAATTTGATTCAAAGAATATAGGATTATGAGGAAGGGAGCAACACGATGGGGTTAGTTTACTGGAAAGCCAGCACAAAGCCTATTGGCTGAATGGCCTCCTTCTTTCCTGATTCTGGATCAAAGCAAGAGCTGAAAAATCTCATTAATAAAATATTATGAGAATTTTTTTTTGGGTTGTAATTCCGTTCAAAGAAATAATTCTTTCAAGGAATGTGGCTGTTGCAGGCAAGGCTAACATTTATTACCCAGTCGAATTACCATTGCTGGTGAGCCACCTTCTGGAACCACAATATTCATATTCCGCAGGTACACCCAGTGTGCAGGTAGGCAGGGAATGCTAGGATTTTGATCCAGTAACAATTAAGGATTATGATATATCATTCTAAATCACAGCACAAGATCAATCAGGTATTTAAAATTCAGACAGCAACTTATCCTTTCATGAATACAGAGAAGAAGAGGGAAAATGAACTGAATATATTAAAGACTGTGCTGTAATGACTGTTAGGAGATCAGCCAGGTGGACTTGATAGAATGTCAGTTCCCTGATTGGGGCTGTAAATCTGGTTCAATCAGGGAGCCCTGGCTGCCAGATAAAAACAGGAGTGTCAGACATCCTGTTCACACTGAGAGCTGGCTCTGAGGAGCCTGGATCTGTGTCAAGGACTCACTGCGTGTTTAAAAAACTGTTGACTTGGTAATGGGCTACCAGCCTCTGTGGAGTTATTGTCAGTGCCACAACTAACAAATGGTGAATCATTGAAGGGAATGTTCTATTCCTGTTCTGATGACTCAGTATTTCCCAGTAATAGCTCTGTGTCTGTTCTGGTGTGTGAGATATAAAATCTTCACATTCTGCAGAATACAGGCAAGCAAGGTGTTTTTAAAATCACTCCAGTGTGACAACATCTGAGCCACCAAGAGGTGATTCTGATGCAGAAAAACACATGACAAGGGTCTTGCGGTGACTGAAATCTGCTTTGTAGTTGTTATTTTTAATTGGGTCTTGCACGCAACCATCGAGCACATGAAACGTGCAGCAGCTTTCATCCCTCCAGCTTTGTGTCTGTCTGTGGAAGATTGTGGAACCACTTTCAGTTCACAGAGTGACGTGTTCTGTGCGATTGCCAGTCAATAGAATTAAAGATTGTTTCTTGAGAGCAGAGACAGCCCTGGGGCCAAATTTACTGAAGGAAAGAGAGAAATGTGACTCATTCATTCTACTCTCAATCCCTTCCCCACCCCCCTGCTTATGAATACTTTCTGGAGTAGAAATGACTTCTATTTAAATAGTAAGTAAGGGAAAGGGCGGTCCCTGGTGGCATCAGCAGATAACAAAGGCCAGTTTTCTTTGATCAGAATGGCTTGGGCCAGAATTGTGTGCTTGCTACTGGTGGTGGTGGGGGCAGGGATGGGTTACGTTATAGTGTGCAGGAGGTGTAATATGTCAGGTTTCCTACAATTCCCTGCCTACCTGCACACTGGGTGTACCTGCGGAATATGAATATTATGGTTCCAGAAGGTGGTTCACCAGCAATGGTAATTCGACTGGGTAATAAATGTTAGCCTTGCCTGCAACAGCCACATTCCTTGAAAGAATTATTTCTTTGAACAGAATTACAACCCAAAAAATACATTCTCATAATATTTTATTGATGAAATTTCTCAGCTCTTGCTTTGATCCAGAATCAGGAAAGAAGAGGCCACTCATCCAATAGGCTTTGTGCTGGCTTTCCAGTAAACTAACCCCATCATGTTCCTCCCTTCCTCATATTCCTGTATTCTTTTGCAACAAATTTTATCCAACTTTCCCCTAAAAAATACAATGGTCTCTTCAACCGCTCTCTCTGTTAAGGCATTCTATCCCTCCTAATCTCTCTCCTCACTGTCCCCGTGACCATCTTAAATTGCTTTTATTCATTATTACCCTCTTAAATTGATGGGACATCACAAATGGTACCCGTAGAGTAGTTGTATTAACAACAGTCCCTTGTAACTTTAGAATCCATAATTAGGGATTATGGTTTCTAAGTGTTCGCTTCCTGATACATGGTTTGCAGTGATCAGGGCTGACATGGTGAAAGTAGGGAACTAGGTTGTGGTGGATTGCCAAGGTGGAAGTGGTAAATTGTTGGAACTATGAGCTGAAAAGTGCTGGATCCTGATGAACTTCATAACAGGGTCTTAAAAGAAGGGGCTAGCGAGGTACTTGATGCACTGCTTTAATTCTTCAAAACTCCTTAGATTTAAGGAATGTCCCATTAGATTCAAAGAAGGCAAATTCAACTGTTTTATTCAAAAAGCAATGGAGATAGATAGCAGGAAACTACAGGCCAGTTAGCCTAACATCTACCACTGGAAAATGTTAGCAGAAGCTATCATTAAAAAAATTAAAGGCTGGCACTTAGATAAGTTTAAGGTAATCAGGCAGAGTCAACATGGTTTTGTGAAAGGGAAATCATGTTTGGCAATCCATTGGACTTCTTGAATAGTTAACAGGTGCTGTGGATAAAGAGGGACTGGTGGATGTACTGTACTTAAATTTCCAGAAAGCATTTGATCTAGTGCCACATCCAGTGTCATTGTGGAAATTAAAAACTTATGGTGTAGGGTTAGCTTATTAGCAGGTAAAATGACTCCACCAAGGCCAGTGAGGTAGATTAGCTTATTTAGGTCTTTTAGAACCTGTCTGTCAACCTAAAGTTGATAAATATCATCAGAAAGGAATGTATGAAGCAGCATTGTCTCAAAAAGGGGTTAGAGTTTTAAGTTGTCAATGTTTTAGTAGTTAACTGAGGTGCAGGATCAATACAAATTGCTGTTTAAGGAAGCAATTTGCCCACTGCTGTCATTCTAACACACAATCATTTAGTGTCAGTGACAGGTCAGACAGACGCCCTTCAGTTAGTTCTCTCTGTCTCTTGGATAATCAATGTGCTTTCCTGATACAAACAGCATAGAGATGAGATGAACTTGATCAGTTTGAGCACTCATTTTGTGTTATTGCTAGATGGTTAGTGGATCATGCTGTGTGTTGGGAAAATGGGATCTCATTGATTAACTCAGCTGCCTTTCATCTTATCATTTTATCATTCCACACCAGTGAAAATACTGAGTGTGCTGAGCTAATTGCTTATTTTATGCTTACGCTTTCAACAATCCCCTCTCCCATTTATTTTCCATCCCTTCCTTCTTTACCCCCTTCTCACTTACATCATTTTCTTTTAATGTTACATTGTAAACACAACATGTATTTTTAATGTATCTATTATTTAAGGTTTTAAGGACCCAAGTGTATGTTACATGCACATCTAGGTCCTAAACTGTGAATTCTCTCCTTAAATGTCTCCATTTCGTCTTAAGATGCTTCTTAAAACCTACCTCTTTGACTAAGCTTTTGGCCACCTGCCCCCATGTCTCCCCGTGTTGCTTGGTGTCAAATGTTGTTTGATAATTTGTCCATTTAGTGTTTACATTAAAGGTGCTGTACAACTGCATTGATACCTGTGGGGATTCTGGTGTAAGGGATGATGAAAAGGCAGTGCTGACTGAAGAAATTATTGATGTTGCACTGTTGAACCAGTGCTGCTGCTTCCATGGAGAATGTTTTCTGGTGTCATCATTCACTGAAGACAATGAAAAGATTTGATTAATGATGTATTCAGCTCTTGGCTTACTATCCTTGCCCTCCCGTACAATAAACAGGTTCATGGTCTTGTTTACAGAGTCAGTGTGGTGAAGACGGTTTTGCTGATTGAATTGTTTTACCATCGTCTTTCGGAGGAGATACACAAACAAATAAACTGAAAACCTATACTAATTTCTCAGCTTCATTTCTGCATCTACTGAATGTTGTGATTTACTTGTTGGTTACAGTTATGGACAAGGCCAGACCCCCCTCAAAATATTTTAAGAAGGTAACCTAGACCCTAACTTTTTCTTATTTTAAAGGTAGATGTGAAGTGGGTGTTCCAGGTGTGATGGAACTGGTCAATCCACTCGGCTTTAAGTAAAACAGAATTTATTTAAACACTACAGTTGAGACACGAACAAAAGAAATCGGAATTTAGAGTAACTTAACTATTGGAAAACTTAACCAACCCAATACAGCAACTTTACTAATTAACTTTTCCAATATAGCAACGTCCCATAAACACACCGCTTGGCAAAAAGATAAATTCAAACACAGATTCTTGCAGGTGGTAGGGAACAACATCCAGAGAGATTTCAGATACAGTTAGTTCGGAATCCTTTCCTGAAGCTTGCAATTCTTCTGGACTCAAAACATTTTGTGACTGCTACAGCTTAAAGAAAAATAGAAAGTCCTGAACTGGGATAACTGGCTACTCCCCTTCCATTATTAAACTGTTTTAGCTTCCTAGCTCCCTAGACTCTTCGGCATCTCTGCCTTTACAATCTCCCTTAAAAAAAACCAGGATAAAATGACCATTTTACAGTGACAGCAGTGTCACAGTCACAAGCCGGAAAAGTGAGAAGCAGTGGGATGACACCATTCTTGGGAGTTTAAAATTGAACAGGATATAAAAGAGACTGTTGATTCACTATCCCCTGAAATCCATAATCACACTTCAGACCAACACAGAGTCATTGCATTGCAGACCGAAGCACTGGAGACCTATTAGAATAAGATTCTCAGCCTTGTTTACAAACCCTTCCATGACTCTAACCTCGCTCTATCTTTGCAACCTCTCTAGCTCTACAAACCACTGAAATTTCTGCATGCTTCGAACTCTGGTCTCTTAAGCATTCTCAATGCTCTCCCCTTCAGATGTTGGGGTCTAAGCATTGGAATTCCTGCCTAAACTTCCTTGCCTCTCCATCTCTTTCTTTCCTTCTAATATACTGTTGAAAACCTACCTCTTTGGCAGGGGTTTTGGTCATCTGTCCTAACATTTTCTGAAATAAATACGAGTAAGTATTACAAATGAGGGGGACGTTAGAGGTGTAGTGGAAATGTCACTGTACTCGTAAACCAGAACCCCAAGCTAAACTTCTCAAGTTTAAAACCCTGATAGTGAAATTTAAATTCAATGAATAAAAATCAGTAATCTCTCTCTTCAGTTATGGATGCACAATAAATGCTTGTGCAGCCAGCAATGTCTATACATCCCATAAACGAATAGAAAAAAGAATACTCAGCAGATCCAGCAAAACCTCTGGATAGAGCGACAATGCTAATGTTTCAAGTTGATTACCTTAGTCAGGACTGAAAAGTATTAAATAATTATTTGGATTTAAGCAAGTACAAAGGCAAGGGAAATGAAGAAATTAGGGAAGATCATGATAGAGTGAGATAACAGGATGAACGGGATGATGGTGAAAGGAAGGTGCAGATTCTGTCAACCCTGCTGAGTACTCCTAAGTATTTCTATTTTTATTTCAGGTTTCTAATACCCAGAGCATGTAACTTTTATCCTGACGTGCAATTGTAAATAGCTCAATGGCAATTTGCAACTGAACCATCTCTGGAGAAGGCTTAAATGCTTTATAATGCTGAAGGCACTATACAAATGCAAGTTGCAGTTCCGGTTGGCTAGGAGGCTCGAGTATGATGTTAATAATGACTGATATTTCTTCAACTTGCAGATGAACTCAAAGAGAAATTGCAAGCTTACATTGACGAAATGAACACACGTCAGCCAGGCTTTGTAAAGATGATCAGACACACAAAGCAAGAAGGGTTAATCCGATCACGGGTCAGTGGCTGGAGAGCAGCGACAGCTCCTATTGTTGCTCTCTTTGATGCACATGTTGAATTCAATGTTCAATGGTAAATATCATCTTGTTGATGGAATTCTCAGACTGTTTTTATCCAGTTTCTGTTGCTCTGTAGAGACTTAGAGAATGTGTGTAGTGAAGGGATGTTACTAAAATATGAGGATTTCTCAAAGTAGCGCTGTATTTACATCACACTAAATAGCTTCAATCGGTTTAGCACAAAATCTAGGCCTTTGCTTCTTTCTTTATTCGCCATTATCATGTGATCTATCACATTATCATTAAAATAACTTTCATGTATATGCTTAGGAGTTAATCCTTTACAGTATACTGTCTAAGACTGGCTGTTCCCATTTCTAATTACACATTCTAATTTCTGATTGAGAATGTAGTAGTTATAGAATAAATAATACAGGCAGAGCAAAACTTCTCCCTCCTCCTTTAAATCATTCTTTAGTAGACTCCCTTTTTGACCATGAAGTTTTTGGTCTCTTTGACCCAATATTTCTTACAGTGAAATGTCGGAGATGGCAAGGACTGCCGATGCTGGAGTCAGAGACAATACAGAGTGGAGCTGGAGGAACACAGCAGGTCAGGCAGCATCAGAGGAGCAGGAAAGTTGACGTTTTGGGTTTGGGACTCTTCTTCACCCGAAACGCCAACTTTCCTGCTTCTCTGCTGCCTGACCTTCTGTGTTCCTCCAGCTCCACACAGTGTGGTACACTGAAATGTGTTGTTTTTATGAAAATCCTTGGAATGCTTTACTGTGTTGAGGCTCTAAACAAGTACAAGATTTTTTTTCTCTGTTGCTTTGTTTTTTTGTGAAGGTGATTCATTAGTTTACTTTCTAAATGTGCAATGGATATCATAGATAACATAACCTTGCTGCTTATTCATCTTTATTGTATATACAAACTGCTATTGAAAGCCCTTTGAATGATTGGCACATTCCCTGAGATTAACACAGCAACTTTGAAGCAGATTGCTCAACCCCAGACTCTTACAGGAATGATACTTGCCTGAATTCTTCCCAGAGGATAGCAAGCCCAGGTGTCTACCTGATTCAAAAAGATTGTCAGGGGTTGACTTCTTTTTCAAGTGTAGGACTATTTGATGAAAGACCTGAAAATTAAATAAAGCTGTGAAGCTGATAAGCTGTCTGTGAGTTCAATCCATTAATGGATGATGCCAATCAGTCTCACTGCCTGATGCAATTACACCTGACAAGGAATTATGTCACCCACTTTCAACATGTTCTTGAGAGAGCCTTAAGTTTAATTGCTGAATTTTTCCCTGCAATGAAATAAGTCATAATAAGAGTAGTGAATTTGACAAGTAGCTTAGTGGAGTTGATTAATAGTTTAATAAATCATTATCCGATGTAGAGGTGTGCCTTATGGCAGATCTGAGTTGCTGCAAAATATACAATGGCCTAAAAATCACTATTAGAAACCAAATAATTGATAGGGTAAGTAAAGAGAAACTATTTCTATTGTTTGGGGGAGTCAAGGACTGAGGCAGATCATCTGAAAGCTAAGGCCATATCTTTTAAGAATGAAATTGGGAAATGTCAACAAAGGATAGGAAGTATTTGGAATTCTCTTCTGCAAGTATCAATTCATGTGAGATCATTTAGTAATTTAAAAAGTGTTTGATTGATAATTTGTTAACCAGAGGTATTAAGTATTATAGGAACAAAGTGTATAAGATGTGTGAAGTAAGAAAAGATGAGCATATGGAGTTAGATTGCAGCTCAGGCACCTTCTCCGACTGTCAGTACAGGCCTGAATGGTTAAATGGTCCTTCATCTTCCTGTCTTCCTGTAACAGTGAGGCTAAGGCACTCACCATTGTTTAGGTGCAAACCAGACACTAACTTCAAGTAATCAAAGTTAACTGCAAAATGTCTGTGGTTACATCTAAAATGCATCCTCCACTATAATCTGAAAAGGGTACCTTACATTTTTGTTGCTTGTTAAAATACATTGAATGGCATAAAGTTCCTGTCACAGTGCAATTTTAAAAAAATTCATTTATGGCAGTCACTGGCTGGGCTAGAATTTGTTATCCATCCCTAGTTACCCTTTAGAAGGTGGTGGTGGGCTGCCTTTTTGAACCACTGCAGTTCATTTGGTGTAGGTGGAACCACAATGCTGTTAGGGAGGGAATTCCAGGATTTTGACCTGGCAACATTGAAGGAACAGCGATATATTTCCAAGTCAGGATGAAGGATGGCTTGGATGGGAAAGTTGCAGTTTGCGGTATTCCCATATATTTGCTGCCCTTCAAGATAGTAGAGGTTGTGGGTTTGAAAGGTGCTGTCCAAGGAGCTTTGACAAATTTTGTAGATTGTACTGACTGCTGCTACAAAGTGTTAGTAGTGGATGGGGTGAATGTGGATGTGATGCCAATCAAATTGAGCTTGAAGTCTTGTTGGGGCTGCACTCATACAGGCAAGTGGGGAGTATTCCATCACACTCCTGACTTGTGCCTTGTAGATAGTGGACAGGCTTTGAGGAGTCAGGAGGTGAGTTACTCACTGAAGACTTCCTAGCCTCTGACCTGCTCTCGTAGCCATAATGTTTACATTTATAGTCCAGTTCAGTTTCTGGTCAATTTTTTAAAATTTCAAACATATATTTATTCATAAATAATCTTTATATACATACATGGTCACTAAAGCAGTTTGGTTCTGTACAGTTTTAGCATATGGAGAAACAAACAAACATTGGAATTTGACTTTCCCAACTGTTCCAACAAACACAAAGGCATTCCTTACTTATGCAAGATGCTGTTCACATATATTTGAGGCACTGAGAGAGTCCGATAACTAATCAGACCCCATTATACTTTGACCAAAAAACTTAGATGGTGGCCTTTCCCCACTGAACCTTGGAGGCAGCTGCCCCAAGCTTTTGTGTCCCTCAGCTCGTAATCCTGAACCTTGGAATGTGCCAGTCTGCAACACTCGGTTGAGGTCAGCCCCTTGCACTGGAAGACCGCAAGTTTCCTTTCAGGCCAAAGAGTGTCTTTCACCGAGTTGATGGTCTTCCAGGTACAGTCGACGTTGTCTCGGTGTGCATCTTGGGGAACAGATTGTAGAGCGCAGAGTCCTGTATCATGGAACTGCTTGGGATGAACTTCAGCGAAAACCACTGGATCTTTCTCCAGATTTCTTTTGCAAAGGCACATTCCAGAAGGAGATGTGTGATAGTCTCTACCCCCCATAGCTGCTTCGAGGGCAGTGTGTAGTGGGCATGCATGTAGGATCTCACAGGTAGTGCCCTTCTCAGGTCCCTTTTAAATCTTTCCCTTCTCACCTTAAAATTATGCCCTCCAGTTTTGAACTCCTCTGTCCTTGTCACTTGTCAGCCCAAACCTGGGCATTGTTCAGGTCTAGAGATAGTAGGAACTGCAAATGCTGGAGAATCTGAGATAACAAGGTGCAGAGCTGGATGAACACAGCAGGCCAAGCAGCATCATAGGAGCAGGAA